GGGAGGGTCCCTGGAGCCGGGCCTTTAAGGTCGGAGAAGATCCCCGCCTTTCAAGATGGGCTTGTCCAATGAGCAAGATGGAAATTCCGAGCGGGAGGTGGCAATTGCTGGAGGGTTTACGACCCTTTGTCTCTAAGCATGGTAATTTGCAAATGGGCTTGAATCGAAATTACTACAGTTTCTCAGGACCCTAATATATAGTGCCTATGTACCAATATATAATATACACGCTTGTTTCGATCATAAGAAGGCGAATTCATCGATACTAGACAAGGAAAGATTACAAATAGTGAAAGGATGACAGGAGTGCGTTTCGATTATAAACCTGCATCACAGTATACAATTTCAAAGACAAAATACACGGTGACAATAATATACCCAATGACCTGAAGGATCATGTGTGTTCATTCAAAGAAAGGTTTTCCTATGAATTAATTAGTAGAAAAGTCCATTTCTGCTCTGCCTTTCCTATGGGGACAATGAGTGGGTTATTCTACTCACATTCCTGGGGGGTCATAAAACCAGTGATATCATGATTAGTTGTCATGGTGACCAGGGGGCCTGGTGTTTTGCAGAAATCCTGGCATCCAGTTTATTGAGTGAGGGGACTGTGACGATTTGTTAATCTAATGAATAATTGATTTGTTAAATCAAATAAAAATTAGTGTGTCAGATTGGTCGAGACGCTACAGAAATCATATAAGATGAAAACTCACAATCATGATAGCACATGAATACACGCTCAGACAATCCATCAGGATTGAACAGTGGGTTCACTGGCATATGGACCCCAACCAGGTGCCCTGGGGGGTACTTAATCATGTATACTTAGAAAGTTTCAATCAAGCTTTGTTAAACCTATTAAACAGAAAAATCAATTGATTAATCCGCCAAAGTGTAAATGCGTCTGGTTCAGGATGCAAACGCAAATCTCCAAAACGGAATGACGTTAACATGCATAAGTTTGAGCTACCGCTGTGCTAAACTCAAACGCTATTTGTTCATTTTTGGTTCTCAAGCAAATTAACGTTGTTACATTTGCATGTAGCGACTAATAGATCAAATGTATGTTCTTGTAAATGGAGTGGATGATTGATAGTTGAGTTGAGTTATGCCTTATTTCGTTTGATTTTATTCGGAGTCTCTCTTTGTTTCCAGTCCCTATAGTAGACCCTGATGCTGACTTTTCTTATGGTAAGGATGAGCAAATTCCTCTTGAATAATTCAGTTTTGTGTTTATGTGGACAATAATAATCTGATTACCTATATTAATATTAATATTAATAATCTGATTACCTATATTAAAAACAATATTTGTTAATATTGGAATATGGTCTTATTCTTACTATGCCATATCCAGGATATGTTATTCCAAATTATACAAGGCCCACAAACTATAACGTTTTAATAACCATTCTAATTCATTGGAATAGCGAAGTCCACATCTGACACAGAAGAACAATATATCATAAATCATGTTCAGAGTGTTTAACATCTTCTTCTTGGAGTGAACAGGCCTTGAAACCATTTGCATATTTCTGTATTAATCAGAATTCTGCATCATGTTTTCCTTAATCAGAATATCCTTATTCAGAAGTTGTTCTGCCTCTGCTTCACAGACTATGAGAATCTGCGCATTGGAGGCCTGATCTTTGCTGGGGTCATTGTGGTACTATCGGTCCTCCTCCTGACAGGTAAGTGTTTAGCCAGTGTGTGTGTGTGTGTGTCGTATGAGTCATATCAAATCACTGATGTGTAATGAATGTCTGGTCCTGTAGGTAACCGCATCAAACGGTGTGGCAAGCGTAAGGTAAGCACCCTCAACTTACTGATGTGTTTCTAGTGACATCTAGTGGGTAGTGTATAGTACAAATTTTGTAATTTTAAAACAAAGTTGTCATTTTTACTCAAGTGAATATCTATAGGAGAAAGTTTACTTTTATTTGTAGGAATTTACTGTAATCTTGATTTATTATATACTTGATTTATTATATATATATATATATATATATATATATATAATAAAAACTTACACAGTGGGTTGCTTTAGTGTTTTCCTGGATCTGCTTTTTTTCAACATATTAATAATAACAACGACAAATAACGACAAAATAACAAATATTTGTATATTAAGTGAATGGCTTTGATTATCTTTAATAGACTTTGACTTTGAGTCTTTAAATGTCTCTGTATTGTTTTGTGTGTGTCAGGTGAAGCATGTGGATGAAGAAATTTAAGATGGCTCATGTCTATACTGGATGGTTCTGAGATGTGAATAGCCTGTTTCATTAAAACATTGATTTAGAAAAAACTGTTTAGTTATGGTGTTGATATTCATATTTTTTATATTCATCAGATATTTCATTTTATTTATTTTTTAAAATAAAATAGATATATAGTATACACACATATATTATAAAAAATGTAAATAAATTAAGAAACTTTAAAAAAACTTTTATTTTGGATGTGATTAATCGATTGACAGCACTAATATATAAACGTGTGTGTGTGTGTGTGTGCGCGCACTTTAATTATTTTTTAATACATGAAAAATGAACTTCTTTGCGGGTCCCTGGAGCCGGGCCTTTAAGGTCGGAGAAGATCCCCGCCTCTCAAGATGGGCTTGTCCAATGAGCAAGATGGAAATTCCGAGCGGGAGGTGGCAATTGCTGGAGGGTTTACGACCCTTTGTCTCTAAGCATGGTAATTTGCAAATGGACTTGAATCGAAATTACTACAGGTTCTCAGGACCCTAATATATATTGCCTATGTACCAATATATAATATACACGCTTGTTTCGATCATAAGAAGGCGAATTCATAGATACTAGACAAGGTAGGATTACAAATAGTGAAAGGATGACAGGAGTGCGTTTCGATTATAAAACTGCATCACAGTATACAATTTCAAAGACAAAATACACGGTGACAATAATATACCCAATGACCTGAAGGATCATGTGTGTTCATTCAAAGAAAGGTTTTCCTATGAATTAATTAGTAGAAAAGTCCATTTCTGCTCTGCCTTTCCTATGGGGACAATGAGTGGGTTATTCTACTCACATTCCTGGGGGGTCATAAAACCAGTGATATCATGATTAGTTGTCATGGTGACCAGGGGGCCTGGTGTTTTGCAGAAATCCTGGCATCCAGTTTATTGAGTGAGGGGACTGTGACGATTTGTTAATCTAATGAATAATTGATTTGTTAAATCAAATAAAAATTAGTGTGTCAGATTGGTCGAGACGCTACAGAAATCATATAAGATGAAAACTCACAATCATGATAGCACATGAATACACGCTCAGACAATCCATCAGGATTGAACAGTGGGTTCACTGGCATATGGACCCCAACCAGGTGCCCTGGGGGGTACTTAATCATGTATACTTAGAAAGTTTCAATCAAGCTTTGTTAAACCTATTAAACAGAAAAATCAATTGATTAATCCGCCAAAGTGTAAATGCGTCTGGTTCAGGATGCAAACGCAAATCTCCAAAACGGAATGACGTTAACATGCATAAGTTTGAGCTACCGCTGTGCTAAACTCAAACGCTATTTGTTCATTTTTGGTTCTCAAGCAAATTAACGTTGTTACATTTGCATGTAGCGACTAATAGATCAAATGTATGTTCTTGTAAATGGAGTGGATGATTGATAGTTGAGTTGAGTTATGCCTTATTTCGTTTGATTTTATTCGGAGTCTCTCTTTGTTTCCAGTCCCTATAGTAGACCCTGATGCTGACTTTTCTTATGGTAAGGATGAGCAAATTCCTCTTGAATAATTCAGTTTTGTGTTTATGTGGACAATAATAATCTGATTACCTATATTAATATTAATATTAATAATCTGATTACCTATATTAAAAACAATATTTGTTAATATTGGAATATGGTCTTATTCTTACTATGCCATATCCAGGATATGTTATTCCAAATTATACAAGGCCCACAAACTATAACGTTTTAATAACCATTCTAATTCATTGGAATAGCGAAGTCCACATCTGACACAGAAGAACAATATATCATAAATCATGTTCAGAGTGTTTAACATCTTCTTCTTGGAGTGAACAGGCCTTGAAACCATTTGCATATTTCTGTATTAATCAGAATTCTGCATCATGTTTTCCTTAATCAGAATATCCTTATTCAGAAGTTGTTCTGCCTCTGCTTCACAGACTATGAGAATCTGCGCATTGGAGGCCTGATCTTTGCTGGGGTCATTGTGGTACTATCGGTCCTCCTCCTGACAGGTAAGTGTTTAGCCAGTGTGTGTGTGTGTGTGTCGTATGAGTCATATCAAATCACTGATGTGTAATGAATGTCTGGTCCTGTAGGTAACCGCATCAAACGGTGTGGCAAGCGTAAGGTAAGCACCCTCAACTTACTGATGTGTTTCTAGTGACATCTAGTGGGTAGTGTATAGTACAAATTTTGTAATTTTAAAACAAAGTTGTCATTTTTACTCAAGTGAATATCTATAGGAGAAAGTTTACTTTTATTTGTAGGAATTTACTGTAATCTTGATTTATTATATATATATATATATATATATATATATATAATAAAAACTTACACAGTGGGTTGCTTTAGTGTTTTCCTGGATCTGCTTTTTTTCAACATATTAATAATAACAACGACAAATAACGACAAAATAACAAATATTTGTATATTAAGTGAATGGCTTTGATTATCTTTAATAGACTTTGACTTTGAGTCTTTAAATGTCTCTGTATTGTTTTGTGTGTGTCAGGTGAAGCATGTGGATGAAGAAATTTAAGATGGCTCATGTCTATACTGGATGGTTCTGAGATGTGAATAGCCTGTTTCATTAAAACATTGATTTAGAAAAAACTGTTTAGTTATGGTGTTGATATTCATATTTTTTATATTCATCAGATATTTCATTTTATTTATTTTTTAAAATAAAATAGATATATAGTATACACACATATATTATAAAAAATGTAAATAAATTAAGAAACTTTAAAAAAACTTTTATTTTGGATGTGATTAATCGATTGACAGCACTAATATATAAACGTGTGTGTGTGTGTGTGTGCGCGCACTTTAATTATTTTTTAATACATGAAAAATGAACTTCTTTGCCATACACGTTTTATGATAAAATCCAATATTAAGCACTAGAGGGCAGCAAATCTCAGCTTTTGGGCTACAGCCTTCAACTCAAATTCAGTTGTTGCACGTTGCACATTTGGAGTTTTCTGTCAAGTGTTTAAATGTGCAGTGATTGAAGTAATGAGTAATTGGTCTTAATTTTAGAATCAGTATTGAATTGCTTCTCAGGTCTGAATGTGATGAGGAAAATGTTATATTTCTAATGGCATACAGTTAAGTTGTATTGTTTTTCATAAATACATAAATTAATAAATACATACAGTTATATAAAATAATGGCAGCAAAACAAATGTAAGTAATTATTGATGGTATATTGTAACTAACATGGATATTTCTTTAACTATGTTACAATTATGCTACATCCAAGCATTTTAATACTTTATCTTTTTTAAAACCTTCACTTAAATCCTGTAACCAGTACATTTCCACTTAAATTATAATGTTATGCTTCAGTGGAGTTCCAGGAAACATCCCGAGGTTTGTTTAACCTGAGCAAACACAGATTTATGCAGATCTGTGCGCATTCACTAATCCTGAACGATCATTTCTCCAGATTAAAACCTGCTTCCTGCACAAAGATCCCAGATAAACGCACCAGCTGAACTGACCAGCTAAATTCTGCTTTGCTCGTGTTCCTGTCTTCTTCTCAAATGGGGGTGAAAGGGGTATGATGGGTCAATTACTTAGGCTTTTGTCAAATACGACAAACGTAAAAATATTTCCAGGTGTCTCATATCAACTGAAATCATTGGACAGCATCTAGAAATAGATATACAACTACCCAAAAAAGAGTAAATGAGCAGCAGAATATTTTAACACAAATTATATATTATATATATATTTTTATTAGTAGTATATTAGGATTGTTATTATTATTATTGATCTGTTATTCTTATTTAGATTACCCCCCTCCCACAAGAAAAAGGTTAAATATATTCTATGGTTTAATATTTGTAATTGTAAAGTTTTATGTCATATATATATATGCATATACGTTCATTTCTCCAGACTCCAGCTGTTGGGTGTTTTTTCTTTCTTTCTTTCTTTCTTTCTTTCTTTCTTTCTTTCTTTCTTTCTTTCTTCTTCTTTAGTTCCTAAGTTCATGGAAAAATGCTTACATCAATTTCTAAGAAGAGAAAAGGCCTGTTTCTCTAATGTAATGCGTTTTTTAATTCTTCAAAGAAATCTACCAATTTCTTATGTCCTTAAGACAGTGCAATGGAGTTCACTGTAATTGCTTGTAAAGTTCCCTAATAAATTCACGAGCTGACATGTTCAGATTGTCTGAAGAATATTTATCTTTCACAAAACTGTCATTTTCCGAATCAGAGTTTTCAGAATTCGGAGTCAGTTTTTGTTGGTTGGTCCTTTCTTCCGTTTGTAAACAATATCAGCTCTGTAATACTGCGATCATAATAATAATCAACAGTCATATTGAACAACCACAGATGAAGTTGTGAATTCCCTATACACAAGGTAAGTGGCTCAACTTACCCCACTGTCTTCTACATTGCACATATCATGCTGTATACAGTCTGGGTCATTGCCTCTACAGATGTAAAGAACTGCATGGTTAGACGAACATAAAGAAAGGAAGAGCTAGAGATGAGCCAGGGCTCAGGAAGTTTGAGGTATTGTTCTGCAAGCTGACAAAGAGCATTAATCACCGCTCTAGGCCTGAGCTTAATTATGCTTGAATAAATAAGTCATTAAAGGCAGAGACAGGCCTGTCAGCCGCGCTCGTGAGCTGAAGCGCTCTGCTAGTGTCACCTTCATCTTTTTCTTTCACTTTTCCCTCTTTCATTCTCTCTTGCATATTTCTACTTATATTTCATTAACTCACACGGAAACGCATTGTCTGTCCCCAGAAATGCATGGGTTTCCTTCAGAAAAGTGTGTATATGAATGTGCATAAAGAGCTAGTGTGCTAGGTTCTCTTTTTTTATTTAATTTTATTATTAAACATAATTTGATAATACTTTTTTTATATAATGTTATAGTTTTAAGTATATAAAGCATTTAAAATATTGAAATACATTTAAATATATATTTTTAGGTAATTATTAATATTGTTTTTTTTGTCAGTTTCAGTTCTCAAATCTTTTATTTTATTTCATT